CTCATGTTTGTCGAATTGCTAGGATTATAAGGCAACCCATGGGGAATGCTTTACTATTGGGAATGGGTGGTTCAGGTATGATTTTAATCAAATATAAAGTTTAAATTAATTTGATTCGTTTAGGACGACAAAGTCTCACAAGGCTTTCTGCCTTCATGGCAGAATATGCATGTTTCCAAATTGAACTGACAAAATCATATGGAGCCTACGATTGGAGAGAGGATGTCAAAAAGCTTATGCTTTCTTCTGGTTTACAGAGGAGAGAAACCGTATTTTTGTTTTCTGATACACAGGTAAAAATTTCTTATGAGAATACACTTGTACAATTTCAATTACTTTTAGATTAAATCAGAATCTTTCTTGGAAGATCTGAATAATGTGTTGAATTCCGGAGATATCCCGAATATTTATCAACCCGACGAAATGGACAAAATATATCAGAAAATGAAAGGCATTGTACAGGAGCTAGGATTGTCCGCTACCAAATCCATTTTGTTTTCGGTTTATACAAAACAAGTCAGGACTAATTTACATACTGTCATAACTATGAGGTATACGACTGCTCAATAATAATTATTCAGTAAGTCACCAATTCAGATAAATATTTTACTTAGTCCAATTGGTGAAGTATTTCGAGCACGCCTGAGGCAATTCCCAGCATTAGTTAACTGTTGCACCATTGATTGGTTTTGTCCCTGGCCAGACACTGCTCTACAAGTGAATAAATATATCATTGAATATCTATAAAAAATATCTTCTATATTTTTCAGTCAGTAGCATTGCAGTTTTTAAAAGATGTAGAAGATTTGAATGTTCCTGAAAAAATTCTAAAAGGCATCGTAATAGTCTTTCAGTTTATGCACGCTAGTGTAGTTGAATCCAGCGAACGTTACAAACAAGAACTGTCCAGGCACAATTACGTAACGCCTACGTCATACTTGGAGCTATTATCCAGTTACACTGATTTGATGAATAAAAAGAAAGGATCTCTGACTCAGGGTGTTGACAGACTAAACACAGGTAAGCGATGATAATTCAATGAACTATTTAACTAGCTTTTTACAGGACTTTCCAAGCTGCAGCATACTCAGGAAGAAGTGAAAGTGCTTCAACAGCAGCTTGAAGAAATGAAACCTGCACTAGAAATGGCTGCCAGAGATGCCAATGAGATGATTAAAATCATTGCTGCAGATACAGTATGTTTGGTTCTATCAAGAAACCGGCAACAGTAAATGTGTGTTTTTTTTGCATCTATAGATAGTTGCAGAAGAAACCAAAGAAATAGTTGAAAGAGAAGAACAGGTGGCTATAGAAAAAGCTTTGGAAACTCAGCTCATAGCAGAAGACGCGCAAAGAGATTTGGATGAGGCTATGCCTGCTTTGATGGCAGCAGAACAGAGTTTAAAGGCATTAAACAAAAATGATATCGTTGAGGTGAGATCTATGAAACGACCTCCAGCGGGAGTTGTGTACGTCATTGAGTCCATTTGTATTGTGAAAAATATCAAACCAAATAAGGTAAATTGTCTTATTTATTATCATACACATTACTATTATAATTATTGAATTTTCACTTGAACCAAAATATTATTCCAGCTGCCAGGTTTGAGGCCTGGAGAGAAAATTTTAGACTATTGGGATCCAGGAAGAAACATGCTGGCGGACCCAGGAGCATTTTTGGTTTCTTTGATGAACTTTGATAAAGACTCCATTACCGAAGAAATGATTGAAAAATTGAAGAAATATGTTGAAGATCCCGACTTTACACCTGTTAAAATTTCAAAAGTAAGTGAACATAGTATTTTGTTTGTTACGATAAATTTATCATTTACGTAACATGTTCCATCTCTTCTTATTTTCATTAAAAAGTTGTATTTTTGTGGATTTTTATCTATTCTTTTTTATTCCACGTGGTTCTTCATTGTGATTTCATTGTAAAGTGAATATGATCTTTTGGGTGTAGTAGTCTGATTGGTTGAACTGGTTAAAATGCAGTTAAGTATAAAAAACACAGGATCGTTTTCCTGTGGCGTTTGGTTTCTGAGACGTTTTCTTTCCTCGACAGAAGTCTGGCAGGCTTGTCCTTTTTATTTTTAATAATTTTTGCTCTTAATGTTTGGATTCTCCCTTATAGGTTTTTCAATGTATTTTGCTATCAACGCATATTATCATATCATTATTAAGTTTTTACCTGATAAATCTTATCTTATCTATTCTTGAAATATAAATATTATATTTTAATTTTTTTATCTAATTGTTGGCTTCCATTTTGTGTGAGTGCTGATTGGTAGTGCCACGTTTATCTGAGGTAAGTCAATTCAGATTTCTGGACTTTAAACGTACTGCTGCTCTAGTTTTCAGAATCAATTGTTAGTGTGGGAATATTGGACCATTTGCTCTAAATAGAGTCGGTGAAAGCCAGATTTTCAATTTTACAGAAAGTAACATTTACTGTTATTCTATGTTACTATATAACTTGTTAAATATCAAATAAAACTATTGTTTGTTGGATTTTGAGTGGTTTCCTTTGCACATAAAGGGACTACACGTTATCTTAATTTTTTTGCATTCCACGACCCTAGGTGATCTCTCCTTAAAGTAATTTCAATTAATTTGTAACAGGTTCACCCTTGGAAGTAATATTAATATTTATTCACTGGTTTCATAATAAGTTTTTCATGAAACTCTACATAACATAATAGTTGGGGAGCTGGCGTCAAAAACATGCAAGAGTTTTCGCAAGGCGGATATTTTCAAAATAGGTCGTACTTTAGTGCTAGAATGCTAGTGTACAGTCAGCACTCACAGTTCCGGGACAGGTGGCTCTGGGACGCGGGCAAAGTTGTAATTTTAAGAAGCATCTAAACTGTTTTCTCAAAGCTCAAAATTTATAGAAATTTTGCACATTATCTGTTTGAAGGTCACAGATTACGTATGTAAAACGTCAGACGTCTAGTTCGTTGCAAAAAGGGGGTCAGACGTCCTCAAAGTTTTTATTTTATGGCATTTTCTTCGGTGTCCTGTCAAAATATATTTTTGCAGGTATTTGACAAATATATTTGAAGAAAATGCCATAAAATAAAAACTTTGAGGACGTCTGACCCCCTTTTTGCAACGAACTAGACGTCTGACGATTTACATACGTTATCTGTGACCTTCAAACAGATAATGTGCAAAATTTCTATAAATTTTGAGCTTTGAGAAAACAGTTTAGATGCTTCTTAAAATTACAACTTTGCCCGCGTCCCAGAGCCACCTGTCCCGGAACTGTGAGTGCTGACTGTACACTAGCATTCTAGCACTAAAGTACGACCTATTTTGAAAATATCCGCCTTGCGAAAACTCTTGCATGTTTTTGACGCCACCTCCTGGACTATAAAGCCTTTGTCTCAATAAATAATTCATAAAGTATACAATGAAAATTCTATTTTAGGTTTCAAAAGCTTGCACTTCAATATGCATGTGGGTGCACGCGATGTACAAGTTTTACTTCGTCAACAAGGCGGTAGCACCGAAAAAGGCGGCTCTCAAACAAGCCAAAGAAGACCTCGAGAGGACCGAACGTCTTTTGGCCGAGGCGAAAGCGAAAATGAAAGAAGTAATGGATAGACTGGAAAAACTGCAAGAGCAATTGAATGCTAAAATTGCATTCAGACTAGAAAAGGAACAAAGTATCGGCGTTTGCGAAGAAAGAATGAACAGGGCTGTCAGACTGATCAGTGGATTAACGGATGAGAGAGTTAGGTCAGTGTTTGTGTCTTTTTTTTTAAATAATTTTGAAGTAGCCAGTAGGTATGTCAAAATTTGATAATGGTAAAATAAATTCCATCAATTTAAATCTCAAATAATCTTGGGCTAGAATTATCAATATTATGAATGAAGGGGTTCTCCATTTCACTACTCAGAGAGGATTTTTAATCATGAAATTTCCATTAAACATCACTCATATCCATGACGCTTAGACCGTGGGTATCCGTACTGAATCTTCATTGTCCTAGATCCTGTTGCAGTTCACTCTGCAGCGCTTCAAAAGTAACTTCACGGCACCTCAGAATATAGAACAGTTCTTGCGATGTCTGCAACTTCACCACTAGGTGCACCCATAGCCCCTAGACCGTCAAATATTGGGATAAGTGAATGACGCATTTACGATTTTTCCTGTTTCAAAACAGAAGATCCATACATGAAAATATAATGTATTATTATGATTTTTTTAGGTGGATAGAAACAATCAGAGATATAGAAGCTAACGTCGTAAATGTAACAGGCGATATACTAATAAGTTCTGGATGCGTTGCCTATATGACACCCTTCACTGACCAGTACAGGCGCGATTTGTTTTCGCAATGGATACAACTTATTCAGGTTCCTACATAAGGATAATCTTAAAACAATATCCAATTTTCAAACTTTTCAGGAGTGTGAGATACCATTTAGTAAAAACTGTAATCCTGTTAATATACTGGGGGAACCAGTGCAGATTAGGCTTTGGCAATTGGATGGATTACCGAGAGATTATCTATCGACGGAAAATGCCGTTTTGATTTCGTGTTCGCGCAGGTGGCCGCTGTTTATCGATCCTCAAGGGCAAGCTAATAAATGGGTCAAAAATATGGTAAGTTATACTACTTATTTGAGCCTATATCATCAATACATATGACTAAGGTTCTAATGGAATTTGCTTTCAAGGGCAAAACACAAGGATTATCAATCTGCAAGCTTTCCGATAGAGATCTCATGCGTACTATGGAATCGGCAGTACGCTTCGGAAAGCCGGTACTCATAGAAAATGTCGGCGTCGAGCTGGATCCTGCCTTGGATCCCATTCTCTTAAGACAAACCTATAAACAAAGTGGTAAGTAACAATACAATCTTCAGCAATTACAAATTACCTGAGAGTTTCATAGGCACTCTTGTAATTAAGCTCGGCGATGTAGTTGTTCCATACGATAGTAGTTTCAAGCTTTACATTACTACAAAGCTGCCGAATCCTCATTATACGCCGGAGGTTTCCATCAAAGTTTTGCTGGTGAATTTCACTGTAGTTTCAACGTAAGTAGTATCAATGAAACCCATGGAAAATAATAAAATATATTAGGTATAAGTCTATATGTATAATGACTTTATTGATAAGGTGCTCCCATGTCCGATTCTGGTAGCAGACTGACGGGTTCCCGACCGTAAGTTGTATTTATGTGTGAATGGCTGTGGTGGGAGAGGGGCGGGGCTCCGCGACACGTGGCCAATCTCAACTTTCTCTTGAACCCGATCCCCAAAAACGTAAGAAAGTGCCATTGAGTACAGATAAGGTTGAGATTAGCCACGTGCCGCGAAACCCCGCCCCTCCCCCAACATGCGCTTAGTGAAGGGAATCATGAAATACTCTTTGGCGAGGTCAAGCTTCTTGCACCGACTTCGGGATACCACAATCGTCTTGTTTGTACGCGAAGCTATAGAAATCCACGAACATATGGAGAACTTCAATAGGATAGAAGAAACATTAAATCAACCAAATCTGGAACTCGATCCTCAAAACCGCAAGAAAGATCCCATTGAGTACAGAGAAAGTTGAGATTAGCCACATGCCGAGAAGCCCCGCCCTCCCCCAACATGCGCTTAGTGAAGGGAATCATGAAATACTCTTTGGCGAGGTCAAGCTTCTTGCACCGACTTCCGGATACCACAATCGTCTTGCTTGTACGTGAAGCTATAGCAATCCACGAACATACGGAGAACTTCAACAGGAAAGAAGAAACATTAAATCTTAACCAAATCTGGAACCCGATCCTCAAAAACACAAGAAAGATCCCATTGAGTACAGTGAAAGTTGAGATTAGTCACATGCCGCGAAGCCCCGCCCTCCCCCAACATGCGCTTAGTGAAGGGAATCATAAAATACTCTTTGGCGAGGTCAAGCTTCTTACACCGACTTCCGGATACCACAATCGTCTTGTTTGTACGTGAAGCTATAGAAATCCACAAACATACGGATAACTTCAACAGGAAAGAAGAAACATTAAAACTCAACCAAATCTGGAAGCCAATCCTCAGAAACGCAAGAAAGATCCCATTAAGTACAGAGAAAGATGAGATTAGCCACGTGCCGCGAAGCCCCGCCCCTCTCCCACCACAGCCACTCACACATTAATACAAATTACAATCGGGAACGCGTCAGTCTGCTACCAGAATCGGACATGGAAGCACCTCTGAAGATGTTAGCCACACGCGCTAGCGAAACGTCAGGAAGCAATTCCAACTTAACGACGGCAATTAAGCCCGAATGAAAACCTCTTATCAATAAACCTGGGCCGCGCAAGCCTCACAAACTCTATAATAACTGCTTCACAAATCGTAATTTGTTATCATTCGTTAATTACTGGTTTACATCAACCAGTATTTGTGGCTTATTGGTATAAATTAATATTTAAGTGGATTACAAGACCAACTGCTGGGTCTAGTAGTAATGCAGGAACGGCCAGATTTGGAAGAGCAAAGAAGCCAGATTGTGGTGAGTGTAGCTCAGATGAAACATGAGCTTAAAGACATTGAAGATCGAATTCTGTTGAAACTGAGCGCTTCCGAGGGATCTCCCCTAGACGATCTTGATTTCATAATAACTTTAGAGGCGTCTAAAGTGAAGAGCGAAGACATTAAGGTAATCTAGTGTAAATAATTCTAGAACCCCAACTCCAATCATTTTCAGAATAAAGTTGAGGCTGCCGAAATAACTCAGATTGACATTGACCATACAAGGGCCCTTTATATACCGGTAGCCAATCGATCACAAATTTTATTCTTTTGCTTGGCTGATCTTTCGAACGTGGATCCAATGTATCAGTATTCGTTGGAATGGTTTATTAACATTTTTATATCCACAATGGCGGAATCTGAGAAAAGCGGTTGGTACATAGTTATTTTTCTTCATTTACCTAAGTAGAGATAGTAAGGGAGTTCACCATCACACCGCGCACCAGTGCTACCATCTGTCAGTTCATGTGTCAGTGTCTAACCCGAGTGACGCCATCTATCAATGCTAACCTACTCCGGGTAACTTCAACTAAGCCCAAGCGACGTTATCTGTCAACCTAGCGGGGGCACCTGAGCCTGGGAAATTTTTCGATACCGTGGGAATATCTCTAGATCGGCGGTGTTTTTGATCTGAAATTTCGGGGATTTGACCTGGGCCAAGAAACTGTATTGTTTAGTGATATTGAATAGACTGAATTCCTGAAAATTGTCACTTCCTTCATGGACTTATCCACTGACCTTGTCGGCAAAGTTAGTGGTGTGATAACAGTTGCTTCATTAGCGGAAAACTCCACTATTTCAAGAGTTATATTATTGGAAAAGAGAATGATCAAGTTAACAAGCTGAGAAATTATTTTTTTGTTTTTGTATGGATGATATCAAACACCTTTTAGAAATTCAAGACATAATAGATTACAGGTTAAGTTTACTCGCAGAACTAAATTTTAGAACTAGAGATTTTCCCACGGTATCGAAAAATTTCCCTGGCTCAGGTGCCCCCACTAGGTTGACAGATAACGTCGCTTGGGGTTATAGTCCGGGAGTTAACGACATATTTTATTGTACCATTTTCGCAAGCTTCATTCTTCTTGTATGTGCTATGCGTGTGGTATATGATACAAATATGAACGTCTGCCGGCGCACCCTCACGACAGGGGGTTACAGGAAGGTTACAATTACAGCAAAAAATTTACGAAAAAAACTTATAGCGGCACAAGCGAAACTTATTGTACGTATTGGTAGAAACATAGAAAGCTTAGAAAATATCGTCTGCCACCTAAATTCCACGACAAAAGTCGTCTGCCACTCACAAAAATAAGCGCAAAAAAAATTTAAAAAAAAATTATACCCGCAAGGCTGAAATTAATTGGAATACTTCTTTTCATAGTAACAAAGACAAAAATAATAGTCTGCCACGAATAAGATACAACGAAGATCGTCTGCCAAGCCTATGAAGTTGGGTTCGGCATGCAGTGCCCGAGCACCACCGCTAGGACGCTGCATCTGTCTCTTATTCCTATCTATTTTTTTTTGTTTTTGTAAGACTAACCAGAATGAATTGTAAAAAGCTCAAGTTTAATGTTCTAGAGTTCTTAAAGAGATTATGGAGGGATTCATCGCGTACAGTCAAAATTGATGTTGAATAATATTGATGAAATTCGATGAAATTATTGAAAATGAAAATGAGCAACAGTTTTACTTTACAACAACAACTTTGTATTTTTTTGACACAGCCGTAAACTTCGAATAACAAGCTGAGTGGTATCTCTGATAGTCATTTACTTCTTGAGGTAATATAACGTAACTCAAATCTAAATTCTTCTCTTTACGGATTGAGAGAATATTTTCACTTGTATTTAATGTAGTGGTGCCGCGAGACAAGACTAGACGAGACTGGCCGAAACTCACTAGCAACACGCCACGTCATGCTTTGCCACACCACGCCATGTGACGAAAATGTATGCGTATATTCTTCCATTTATTTATATGTGCTGCGTACACACTTGCCATACGCGATACCTCGCCATGGCACGCCACGCCATCCGTCCATTTCCACACAAACTGTCCCACGTAAACCCGTGTCACATGGCGTAGGGTGGCGTGGCGTGTTGCTAGTGGGTTTCGGCCTTTAAGGCCGAAACCCACTAGCAACACGCCACGCCATGCTACGCCACCCCACACCATGTGACATAGGTTCACGTGGGACAGTTTGTGTGCAAATTTTTAACACGCCACGTAATGACACGCTCATTTTATTCTATACATTTTATTTAGACAAATTTTCAATAGCTTTGAGTACCTTATGGAGTATAGAAGAAGTTCGTCTAGTGACTTAGAGTTTCTAGAAGAATGTGCTGTTGCGGCTCTGATTTTACAGAATAAAAAAAAGGAGATTCCGGGTGCAGAAAATAAACAGGAATCGAGAAAAAATGGTGCTTTTCATGTATTAATGATGGAGCTGGAGGCAGATCGTAATCGATACCATGTACTTCCGTATGAAGAGAGAACAATTTGATTATTTACATAATCTTGTGAAAGACTAGATTAAAAAGCAGGAATTCGTACTGCCGTACCTTTTTTATCAGAAATTCTTGCTGCATTTTTCTGTATTACTATTTGCGACGCGTCAGAATATGAATAAATACAGAAACAGATTGCGGCGGGGCTAGAGAAGCGGCCGGGGAATATCTACACGTACTACCAACACGCGTGGGCAGCATCTGAGGATTTGAAATCATCACACGTCGGATGGCGTGACGTGCCATGGCGTGGTATCGCGTGTGACAAGTGTGTACGCGGCACATGTAAATAAATGGAAGAATATACGTATACATTTTCGTCACATCGTATGGTGTGGTATAGCATGGCGTGACGTGTTGCTAATGGGTTTCCGCCTTTAGGGTTAGTCTCGGTCTCGAGTACCAAAGTCTCGTCTCGTCTCGAGTGGTCTCGTCTGGTCTCGAGCTATACAGGGTGTCCAAAAAATAGCGTGAAAACTCTTCTTTACGTGATGGAGGACCCTACAAGGAACCCCAGAAAAATACTTTAAAAAATCTAGTGGTATTTGTCAAAATTAAATTAAATACCCATGTAACTACCTGAAGAATTCGAAGGTGAATTTTCACATCTATCTCTTCATATTACCAAGAATAATGCTGGAGAAGGATTTTTTTAATTTAATTATTTTACTAGGGTTTCTCAAAGGGTCCTCTACTACGTGGAGAGTTTTTACGCAATTTTTCGGACACCCTGTATTTATGGTTTTTGTTTTTTTATTATAACGGAAGTCCAAACTGCCACAGTGAAAAAGCAATTAGTAAAAAATCACAGTAAAGAGTGACCCTGATATTTAATTTACTGATTTCATATTCAAATAGCCCAGAATAGTCAAATAATAAAGCTATGAAAGAAAAATTTTAACTGTAATCTCGAGACTCGAGACTACACGAGACTCTCGCCGAGTCTGGTCTCGTCTCATCGACCAAAAGCCAGTCTCGTCTCGAAAAGTCGAGACGAGACAAGACGAGACGAAACCAGTCTCGAGTCTCGCGTCATCACTAATTTAAAGTATGAATTCCAAACTTTTGCAATTTTCCTGTTTTTTTTTTACAAAAAACACAGTGAGGCTTTACTCCAGACATTTCAAATTTGCACGCACTTTCCACAAGACTTTTATACCTCAATTTATGGAGACTCTGTGAGACCCTGCACTGACGCTACTGACAATTGAAAGTACTGCCAAAAAACAACTTCATAAATATTGCGCAATTAGTTTTTTTACAAAAATTCTATGATCCCCCATATGCCAAACCTAACTTCATAGGCTTGGCAGACGATCTTCGTTGTATCTTATTCGTGGCAGATTATTATTTTTGTGTTTATTAATATGAAAAGAAGTATTTCAATTAATTTCAGCCTTGCGGGTATAAATTTTTTTTATATTTTTTTTGCGCTCATTCTTGTGGATGGCAGACGACTTTTGTCGTGACATTTAGGTGGCAGACGATATTTTCTAAGCTTTTTATGTTTCCACCAATACGTACAATAAGTTTCGCTTGTGCGGCTATAAGTTTTTTTCGTAAATTTTTTGCTGTAATTGTAACCTTCCTGTAACCCCCTGTCGTGAGGGTGCGCCGGCAGACGTTCATATTAATATCATATACTACACGCATAACACATACAAAAAGAATGAAGCTTGCGGAAATGGTACAACGAAATATGTCGTTAACTCCCAGACTATTAGCTGAAGTTGCCTGAAGTAGGTTAGCATTGATAGATGGCGTCACTTAGGTTAGGCACTGACATATGAACTGGTAGATGGTTACACCGGTGCGCGGTGTGATGGAGAACTCTCTTACTATCTCTACTTCAAATAAAAGAATATTTTATTATTCATTTATAGATGATATCACCATACGCGTGCAAACAATCAACGATAATTTCACATTTAATTTATTCAGTAATGTATGTAGAAGCCTTTTTGAAAAACACAAGCTCCATTTTGCATTTCTTATGTTAATAAGAATACTTATGGATGAAAACAAAATTAACCCCCAAGAATGGCAGCATTTCCTTGCAGGAGGATCACCGTTGAGAGTAAAGTTTTCTATAGGAAATTATTTAACTTATGCACCTAATATACCTCTATTTCAGGATATTCCAAATCCAGCTTCAGATTGGTTGTCCATTAAGGCTTGGAAAGAAATATTAGCTTTAGAAGTTTTACAAACACTTGAACCATTTGTCGCTAGCTTCAGTAGAAATAGAACACTTTATAAGACAATATTTGATAGCGCCGAACCACACAGGGAAAAACTGCCGTCGCCATTCGATTCCACTCTGGACGGCTTCCAAAAAATGATTATCCTAAAAAGCTTGCGTCCGGACAAGGTCACTAACGCAATGCAAGATTTCCTCTCGGATAAACTCGGTCAGCAGTTCATCGAACCCCAATCCTCGGATTTGTTTGCCATGTTCAAAGAATCCGCTCCCACCATTCCCTTGATATTCGTCCTGTCGACTGGCACAGATCCAGCAGCGGAACTCTATAAGTTTGCCGACAGGATGAAAATGGGCAAGAGGATGTTTTCGATTTCGCTGGGTCAAGGACAAGGTCCTAGGGCGGAGAAAATGATCAGGGAAGCGTTCGAGGCTGGATCTTGGGTGTTTTTCCAGGTTTGTATTTTAAATGAGGTGGCATAGGATATTTACATAAAAAGTCTGGAAAATAAACTTTCACAATATGAGTTAGATTTCTGGAATTTTGAAACGAATACTGTAAAAGTTTTCTCCATAGTATGTACTGTAAAATTGTGTGTTTTACGATAAAATATGAAATACATATTATATGCGTTGGGATTAAGATTTGAAATATCTTATATTTGTTTCAGAATTGTCACTTGGCTCCAAGTTGGATGCCAAGCCTTGAACGCATAATAGAAACACTTCAGCCCGATAATGCTCATAGAGATTTTAGAATATGGCTAACGTCGACCCCTTCTCCATATTTTCCAGTGTCCATTTTACAAAACGGTAGCAAAATGACTGTGGAACCACCTGCCGGTAGAATTTAAAAACTCTTTTAAATAATACATATTGTCTTTTTCGATTTGTAGGAATAAAGGCTAATATACTTAGGGCATATTTGAATCAAGTGTCAGACTTTGTCGATTTCATCCAATCGGAAAACAAAAAAGCGCTGCCCTTTAAACTATTGACCTTCTCTTTGTGTTTGTTTCATGGAGTATTGCTCGAAAGAAGGAAATTTGGACCGCTCGGATTCAACATCCCATATGAATTCACCGATGGTGATTTGAAGATTTGTCTGTCGCAGCTTCATATGTTTTTGTTAGAGTATGAAGATATTCCTTTCAAGGTAAAAGGAAAATTTTCAATAAAGCATGTTCAAAATACAATTATGTAGGTTCTCACTTATACCGCTGGTCAAATCAATTATGGTGGAAGAGTTACCGATGATTGGGACAGAAGGTGCCTCATGAACGTGTTGGCCGACTATTACAAGCCAGAAGTTGTTTCTCCAGATTATGTTTTCGATAAACATAATTTCTACCACCAGGTATATATCCGTTTTCTAAATACCTAAATGCATAAATTTCTCATTTTGCAGTTACCATCAACATCCTTGTTTTTGGACTACATGGACTACATAAAAACTTTTCCGATCAACGACGATCCAGAACTGTTTGGAATGCATGCTAACGCCGACATTACTTTTGCTCAGTCGCAGACGTACAAATGTTTATCTACTCTACTATTGCTGCAGCCGAAACGGGTAGGGGGTGCAGCCTCGAGTCAGGAAGAAGTTACAACTGCTAGTGCCAAAAATATATTGGAGCAGTTACCCAAGTTGTTCGATTTGGAGCTGATATCACAGAGGTAAAGAGTTTGATAAGATGTTATGTTCAAATAAATTCTGTTAAATGTTGCTCTATCCAGATACCCGGTTCTATATGAAGAATCCTTAAACACGGTAATAATACAAGAAGGTATAAGATATAACAGGCTACTCGTTGTAATACGTGCCACTTTGCTTGATCTGTTGAAAGCTCTCAAAGGATTAGTGGTGATGTCAGAAGTATTAGAGAGAATGTCGCTGAGTCTGTTCACGAATATGGTTCCCCAGATATGGGCCAGTAAAGCGTATCCTTCATTGAAACCTTTAGGTAAACTCGCAAGAATCATTCAACCACTTGTATTATAATTGCATGAATGTTGACATTTCCTTATCGCTGAAAATTGTTCACATTAGGTGCTTGGGTTTCCGACTTAATTGCCCGATGTCAATTCCTGCAAACCTGGTTGAATAAAGGTATACCTCCCGTCTTCTGGATATCTGGCTTTTATTTTCCGCAAGCCTTTCTGACTGGAACACTTCAAAACTTTGCCAGAAAATATGTTGTATCCATTGATACAATCAATTTCAGGTTCAAGGTAAGAACTCTCTGAATTTTTTGAAAAAATCTTATATTTTTATACGTTTAGGTGCTGAATTATTATCCAAAGGATCGCCAATCCGATGGATGCTGTATTTGGGGCTTATTTCTGGAAGGGGCTCGTTGGAATGCTGATCTAGCAATTTTAGATGAATCCATACCAAAAGAGCTTTATACAGGTAAGACAATGTGGTAGAAGATGTCATGTAGATTTAAAATGGTCCATCATCAATTTTTGTTTACCCAAGTGAAATATACATAGAGAATAAACTTAATTTTTCTCAGAAATGCCTGTTATCTGGTTAGTACCAGAAGAACACCATGTCCGACCACCAGGAACGTACGAATGTCCGGTTTACAAGACTCTCACACGGGCCGGGGTCTTATCCACAACTGGTCATTCAACGAACTACGTTTTAGCCATCGAAGTACCGTGTAAGAAACCTGAAAATCACTATATTAAACAAGGAGTCGCTCTAATATGTGCACTTGATTATTAAATTTAGATTATTGTTGTTAATGATGTTATAGTTAGGTACCTATGTTAAATAATAAATTTTATTAAAAAGGAAAAATTGAAGTATTTTTTCATGAGCACAGGATAAGCTGTTCCAGGTTCAACTACCACCTCGTTACAGTACGCCTGGATCGAAGGGGGATTCGGCGCAAGTGAAGAGGACCAGGGTTCTAGGGTAAAACCAGGAGATCCGGAGATGACTTCAGACAGTGCCGCAATATCTGCTAGGCTCGGGGTTACCATAGTGCCGGATACGTTTCCGACCACTATGGTCAATGAGCCCCAGAGCAAAAAGATCATGGCGGCATTAAACACCGTCATAGATCAGATGGGGCAATGGTAAACGCACACAGCGAGACAATCCACGTTAAAGGGGTGGATGCATTAACAACAAAAGATGAGCTGACGGCAGCAATATGCCACGAGCTTAAGATGGGGAATACGGACTCTAGCCTAAGTGAGCTGAGACCGGACAGGAATAACACCCAGGCAGTAACGATGACCCTACCCAAACAAGAGGCAGAGAAGATAATAACAAACCACTCCGAGATCCGCATAGGACTCGTAAGATGCAGACTGGAAAGAAGATTACACGTCGAGAAATGCCAAAAGTGCTGGGAATACAGCCACACCACAAAAGAATGCACTGGTCCGGATAGGAGCAGACTATGCTTCAAATGTGGAGAAGAGGGCCACCCTGCAAGGAACTGCAAGAACTCAGAAAGTTGCCCAGTCTGCCATAAAGCGGACCACAGAGCAGGCAGCGGAAGATGCGCGAAGTTCAGGGAGTCCCTAGGCGGGCTAAGGAAATTCGAAAGACAGGAAAATAAACAGAGGCAAAGACAAAAGGCAGAAAATCACGGAACTAACGATAACTAAATTCCTCCAGGTGAACCTGAACAGATGCTACGAGGCTGACGACCTCCGCACGCACAGTTACAGCCAGCCAGCTAGACATAGACGTGTTAGCAGTATCAGAGCCGAACCCAAGGTCTACACAATACGAACTGTGGCACTACGATCTGAAGTCGGACGCTGGACTGGGGCTAAGGAACAGGGACATCCCTTGCCTTGGGACAGGGGCGAGGGACGGCTTTGTGTGGATAGAGCTCCGTGATTTCATCATCACAAGCTGCTACATCCCGCCAAGTCAAAGGACAGAGGAATTCAACCTTGCTCTAGGATCTCGAGGCGAGCTCCTGGATAAGACAAATAAAGACTTTATAATAACCGGTGACTTTAACTCCTGGGCAACTGACTGGGGTATGCACACTACAAACAGGAGAGGCAATATAATGTTAGAGTGGATGGCATCCAATTATCTTGTCATCCAAAACAGGGGAGAGGCAGCTACTTTCGCAAAGCCAGGCGCCAGCTCCATAGTAGATCTGACAACCACAAAGATCAGAAACTGGAGGGTATTAGAGCAAGAAACGGCAAGCGATCACAGATACATCTATTTCGAAACTTCATGCGACACCAAGATCCAACGCAGACAACCGGACAAGCATCGATGGAACTTCAGGAAGTTAAACAACCAAAAGCTGAAGGAGGCAATCGAGAATGTGAAACAGACCCGCCTACCAGACACAGATGCGCAACTTGATAAAACCATTGCGGAAATCTGCGATAGAGCGATGCCGATCAAGTCCACGCACAAAAATAAGAGCCCCATGTACTGGTGGTCAGACAAGATCGCGGAGCTGAGGAAGAGATGCCTCTCTATGAGAAGAAAACTGACCCGGAACAACCGAAAAGACAACGTAAGATCGCAGCTGGACAACCGCCTACAGTTGGTGGAAGAGAAAACCGAGGTCATTATACTCACATCTAAAAGGACAGTCCCAAAGAGAGCATTCAATATCCTAGGAGGTGAGACGAGAGCGGCGGCCGAGATCAAGTACCTGAAGGTCTGGCTGTACTGCAAGCTCTCTTTCTCATCACACATCAAAAAGACCGTCGTCAGAACGGGAAATGCAATGTTGGCACTAGCAAGGCTGATGCCCAACGTAGGGGGGGCCGACCCCGGAAAAAGGAGACTTCTATATTCGGTCCTAAGATCCATATTGCTGTACGCAGTTCCGGTCTGGGAAGGAACTCTGCGGAAGAGAAAGTACCGAGAACTGGTAGAGGGGCTCCAAAGACAGGCTGCGCTGTGGATCTGTAGCGCCTACCGTACCGCATCTACAGACGCAATCCAAGTAAAAGCGGAGACGCCCCCAATGGACCTCCTTGCGCAACAGGCTGCCTCAATAGCAAAGGCGGCCACGCTAGAGAAAAAAGCCGCCCGGACCGAAGCATGAGAATTGCTGATGAAAGAATGGCAAAAAAGGTGGGAGAACTGCAAGAAAGGAAGATGGACCTACAGGATCATCCTAAATATCAAGACTTGGAAGGAGAGAAAGCATGGGGACACGGACATTTACCTGACAGTTTCTGACCGAGCACGGTAGCTTCCGAGATTACACACATGATATTAACAAGACAGCAGACAACGAGTGTATTTATTGTGGGGAGACAGACAACGTGGAACATACCCTCTTCCACTGCAGGCACTGGCGTGAGCAGCGAGTAATATGCGAAGAGCAAACGAGCACAATCACCCCAGAGAACATTCTGGCAAAATGGTAAAGAGGGAGGAAAACTGGATAGTGGTCAAGCAGCTGGCCAGGAATATATTGGTCAAGAAAAGTGAGGATGAAAAGCACGATAGTGAACAGATAAATAGATAAATAGAAAAATAGATAAGTGGATAAATAGATAAATAGAAAAATAGACAAATATATGACAACAAAAGAGACACCTCATCACTTGAAGTAATATGTGAAAGCGGTTCGGAGTGATGTTGTGAGAGAGAGGGGGAGAGGGTGTTAGTCGGTTGACACCCAAGAATGTCAACTCGACACACCCTCCACTGCCAGACAACAAGTGGAGGAAGGTCTGATTAGCAGATTTCCTAAACCTCCTGAAAAGATCAGATGGGGCTACACCGCTTCCGTCGATTTGAAAAGTTTCGCTGGGATACGCAAGGCACCATTATGGTTGGTTGCGGGGACCAGTGGACTCTAGAATGGTTAGAGGGAGTCATCTCCTCGATAGTATGATAGGGCCCTGAGAGGGGGCATCGCTGCGTGTGATTCCGATACACTCCCAGGATTAAGGTGATTGCGATAGTCCACTGACTTCCAGACGACACCAACTTCATCCTCAAAACGCCTCTGTAGAGAGAATCTTGAACTACGAATCCATGGAGGACGTATCACCGTAAGGAAGACCCGAACAGGACTCTCATGGTTTCCAGAGTTGACGAGGCTTCGTCTGAGGTCTATCGACGCCAAAACTACAAGGCGTACGCAGGGGTCTCCCTTGTCAGTTTCGTGACGAGGGCAAAGGCTCCAGCTGCGTCCAAAAAAGTGACGAATCGAGCCGAGGAGGTTAGTAGCAGTACTCCAACCTCGGAAGGAACATCACCGCCTTATCCAGCTTCGGATGAGCAGTCGATGGCACCGAAGATCTGGGAAAGAGGTGACCGAGCTCATGGCTCTAGTGGATGTAGATGATACTCCGCAGAGGACAGGGGCTGGACCATCTACAGCCTAAAAATAGGTCCAATCATTATCCCATACCATGGACCTTATTTCTTCAAAGTAACTTGCAACATAGCAAAGTGGCGATCTCCTCAATAGAGGATGACACATGTATCCAATATACTACAAGAACCTTGGGCGTACAAGGGTCGTGTAAGAGGATTAGGCAAAGTGCAAAGATCTCTTTTCTATAGAAGGGACATTCAACTGTACCCAAGGAGTTGCATCTATGTCCACATACGAATCGAGTCCACTCTAATAGCTAACTTCTGCTCTAAAGGCCTAGTAGCGGTAAAGCTATGACTCAAGGACAGACTGCTTTGCCTATCTGCCCTATGACTCAACAGATGATCCCCCAACACGGGAGTTCATCGATTTGGTGGAGTACTGTAACTTACTCGGCCTTCCTTGATTGTCGGATGTGATGCCAACGCACACAACATGGCGTGGGGCACTACCGACACGAACCAGAGAGGGCTCAGTCTTCTGGAGTACCTTTACAACACTGATTTAGAAATCCTGAACCGTGGCAGCGCACCAAACTTTGTCACTTCACGTAGACAACAGGTAATAGACTTGACATTGGGCTCACTGTTCATGACCCCGATGAAAAGCAAGTGGATAGTGTCTGACGAACCGTCCCTATCGGATCACAGGCATATTGTTACGTACAAATCTTGCCTTAACGTAACTAGAATTTCGAATAAATTCAGTAATTAATTAAGTTATTTGTGAGGGTATTTATGGAGCTTTATACCTGAGGATTAATATCTTTCGGTGATTGATAGGTTTCTCATTGGATTTTACTAGATTTCTACCTTTTTGATTGGATGTGAAACAATATGTGGGTATTGAACAAACGTATATTTTCCTGGGTAATACTGAGTTAATTCTCTGTATTCAGATGACAGGGTAGTTTTAGGATAATAAAACCCTACTAGTAGGATCGAAAATCTATTGTATTTAGCTTTCGAAAGTTGTCTAAAAAGCCCTGACTGTTGATGAAAATGTTTGTTTACTTCCAAATAAATATCAATTGGCAATACTTACGAGTCTCGTATTTTCCAATATTAAAAGTTCTGCAACACCACAAATCACTTTCACATCCTTTAAATCGCTTTTTCATCCCTATTTGCACTAATATTTACATTTTCCCGGTTATCTATTTTCGCCGAATAAGTGTGGTTATGGGACACTTGTTGATCCGTTCCAGGCAGCGCTGTTGCCGAGGTTTCTTGACCATTATTGCTCCCGCGTTGCTTCCACTGTACGAGTGGTACATATTGATAGTTATTAGACTAAAAACCGGGTAGATGATGATTATTGATTAATTAATTAGTGTAAGGGAAAAAAATTGCATAACAATTTTGAGTTTTGTTTGTCATCGATGTGGTTTGGGTTGTTCGTTTCAAGCTGATTTTCTCGTTTTCCTGGTCAAGACCGGAAATCTGGTACCAGAGGGCATATTGGGAAAAAATAGAATTCTGGGAAATTTTTCATATGAGCTCACATGGTAAATTGCCAAAAAAATGGCGTTTTCTTTAAATTCGCACGTTAAGCAAGCAACAAGTTGTTCGGCAGATTTTAACAGCGGTCCTCTTTGCTGCGTTCCTTGGAACATCCACCTTTTGTGAGATTTTACAGGCGTTGGGAACTCAAGTGGTAGCTGGCTTAATTGGTTTTGGGGTGAAAACTTGGATTTGGTCGTAAGTCTCCGTATTTGTAAACCAACCACTCATAGTTTTCTGGAGACGAAAATCTACGCCATTTTGTTGAGTTTTCGTGCGAGCAAAGAGCACGTTTTGTTCAACTAGAAGCCTGAATTGTAACCAGGGTTTTTAGATTTTACTTTACCATCGGGTTCTTCCTTTTCGACGGTTTGCTAGTTCCGAAGGTGAGGTGTCAGAGTATCCACAGCACTGAATTGAAACCGAAATTTACCCTATTTAAGAAGATGGAACTCGGACTTCGACAAGGCTCGTAAAGAAACCCGCAGGCTCTTCGACAGGGCCATACGGTCTAAATCACTAGCTGACTGGGACAGTCACAAGCTGTCTCAGCGCAGATACAAAGATCTCATAAGAAGGTTTGTAATGGTCCTTCTAGAATCTTGAATAATGAATCTTTAGAGCCTTCAAAACTTTCAAATTTCACTCTTCAGTTCTGTGCGTTAAATTCCTTAGTTAGCTTTAGTCATGATCCTCGAAAACCTTCAAAATCTTCATATCAAATCTGATATCAGGAATCAGTCCTGATAGGAACCATATAAGAATCCACCAAAAACTTCTGGTCATCACTTTGCTATGAACACTTAAATTATCGATGAAAAGTTAATAAATTAATGACTCTAAGTAATGTAAGTTTAATAATATTACCATTCAAAATGAGAAAAACCCCAGCAAGAACAACAAAAAATAACTATTGACTCATAAATTGTTAATTAAAAACTTCTACAATAACCTTTATATACTAATCCCCATTAAAATATTATATATTAGATTTCCATTTACTTCCAAGATGTTCTTACCCAGCAAAGAGAAGCCGTTTTACTATTGCTTAAAAGTTATGCAATATATGCATTATTATCCATTTGCTGAAGACTTGAATGATTTGGAAAAATTTTGGAAAGTCGCACTTTTAATTCGAATAATCACATGCTTTCCTACATTTGAATGTTTGTTGCATTTGATAATGTCCATTAAAAGTAAGTAATGTAAATAATACTTGATCATTAGACATCCTAATTTTTTAGACAAAATCCCTATTGATTATCCAGCTGACATTGTAATAATTATTTCCGGCTTCAACGCACTTATAGTTTGTAACATGTTTCAAATTGTCAATAAGGATTATTCCAAATTATTCTTTGATTTACATGAAAATACAGAATTCGGTGTGCCCCCGAGGATGGCTTACACAATAAAACAATTACAATGGTACTCGAAACTATGTTTTTGGTATTGCATAGTTGGGTCAATGTTGTATGTGCTTGAATCAGTGTTTATAGAATCAGGTGTTTTACACACACAAAACTACTAGAACTCTTCTGATACTATTATCTTTTAGTTAAATGCAGAGAATCGAACGAAATTCGGGGAATTCACGAAATATGCAATAGTGTTACAATGATATGGTGGCCATATGATGAAATACATCCTATAGCATTATTACTGATAAATCTTATAGAAATAATATGCATTGGTATTTATATTAAAAATTTAGCTTGTCTTACGAAAAACAAAATTTTTCAGTTTACTATATACCACCATCAGCAATGGTGATGTTAATATTGTGGGAAGCCAAGCAAATTATTATTTTAAAAATGTGTCATTTAAAACAACTTTTAAGAGAGGTTTTCACAATCGATAGTGAAGGTTTACGCAGACAACGCTTAAGGTTTTGTATAAAGTATCATCAAGAAATTTTAAGGTAAAAACCTTCACTTAATCATACAATACTCATTTCCTGCCTGCTTATTTTTAGAGTTGCCAAAGACCTAAGTGATATTTATAAAAAGGTGCTCTGGCATACATTCATATGTGGGGCACTAATTGGTTGCAGCTTATTTCAAACGTTTAGAGTAAGTTATAATAATACATGGATGATTTTCGAATTAAACTTTTAACTTTCTAGCACAAACCGGTAGGATCCTTTCTCCTGCTTGTAGGTTATATTTGTGCCATTTTCATTAATTGCACCGCTGGACAAAATTTGGAAGATGAGGTGATACAATGATTGAATTTTCGAATTTATAGATTATTGAATTTTAGACTATAGGAATTCGAAACGTTGTATATGAATCAGGGTGGCATAGAGATCCTAAGCTCGCTAAGGACGTTCAGCTAATTTTACTTCGGTGTGAAAAAAGCGTACGTTTAGAGATATTGCCCTTTGGAGCTCATAACTATGAGTTATTTCTCAGAGTAAGATAAGTAACTAAATAATAAGCATTAATAAGGGGTTTTTATTCGGGCTTGATGACCGTTGTAAGTTGGAATTTCTTGCTGACGTTTCGCTAGCATCTTCAGAGGTGCTTCCATGTCCGATTCTGGTAGCAGACTGACGCGCTTCCAACCGTAAGTTGTATTTATGCGCGAGTGGCTGTGGTGGGGGAGGGGCGGGGCTTCGCGGCACATTGGCTAATCTCATCTTTCTCTGTACTGAATGGGACCTTTCTTGCGTTTTTGAGGATCGGATTCCGGATTTGGTTAAGTCTTAGTGTTTCTTCTTTCCTGTTGCATTTATCCGTATGTTTGTGGATTTCTATAGCTTCACGTACAAAACGATTGTGGTATACGGAAGTCGGTGCAAGAAGCTTGACCTCATCAAAGAGTATTTCATGATTTCCTTCACTAAGCGCATGTTCCGCAATTGCCAATTTTTCCGATTGTCCTAGTCTGCAGTTGCTTTTGTGCTCGTTTATCCTGGTTCCCATGGATCTTTTTGTCGTTCCTATGTATACCTTACCACATGTGCATGGTATACGATAGACTCCAGCGCATGACAATGGGTTCCTCTTATCCTTGGCTGATCTGATTGATTGCTGTATTTTCCGTGTTGGCTTGAAGATTGTTTTTATGTTATGCTTCTTCAAGATTTTCCGTATCTTATCTGTCACCCGATAAATGAAAGGCGGATACTGTCAAAGTTGAGGTGCTCTTATTTTGCTGCCCCAGACTTATTTGAAAAGTGTGGAGTGAATCTACTCTAAATGACTCTATTTTTGTTGCACTTGGACATCACCACATAAGAGAGGGTACAACCTAACGAAACCGCTATAATTGACTGACTACTTCAAATGTCAAAGTTACGATTTCTTTTCGATGTGGAGCTCAATAACTTTTGTCTCAATTATTTGTAGCTCTTGACGTTCTCCTTGTTTTCTTTAGTTTTTCAATTCAAGAGCCGGGAATAAGAAAACTATTAATTTTGTCTCGACTTTTGTCTATTCTAGGCTCTCAAGCTGAAAAATTCAAGAATTCATAGGCTGTCCCTGTCTATGATGTTTCGAAGAAAGCATTAAAAATGGCCTACTAGAATTCTTTGAACTGGCGAAGTTGAGGTGCTTTCATGTTGCTGCCCCAGACTTATTTGAAAAGTAAGGAGTGAATTTACTCTAAATGACTCTATTTTTGTTGCACTTGGACATCACCACATAAGAGAGGGTGTAACCTAACGAAACCGCTATAATTGACTGACTACTTAAAATGTCAAAGTTAAGATGTTATCTTTTCGATGTGGAGCTCAATAATTTTTATCGCAATTATTTGTCTATTCCAGGCTCTTGAGCTCCTCCCTGTTTTCTTTAGTTTTTCGATTCAAGAGCCGGGGATAAGAAAACTATCAATTTTGTCTCGACTTTTGTCTATTCCAGGCTCTCAAGGTGAAAAATTCATTAATTCATAGGCTGTCCCTGTCCCTGATAGTTCGAAGAAAGCGTTAAAAATGGCTTACTAGAATTCTTTGAACTGTCAAGGTTGAAGTGCTTTCATGTTGCTGCCCCAGACTTATTTGAACAGTGTGGAGTGAATTTACTCTAAATGACTCTATTTTTATTGCACTTGGACATCACCACATAAGAGAGGGTGCAACCTAACGAAACCGCTATAATTGACTGCCTACTTAAAATGTCAAAGTTAAGGTGTTTTCTTTTCGATGTGGAGCTCAATCATTTTTGTCTCAATTATTTGTCTATTCCAGGCTTTTGATCTTCTCCCTGTTTTAGTTAGTTTTTTAATTCAAGAGCCGGGAATAAGAGAACTATTAATTTTGTCTCGTTTTTGTCTATTCCAGGCTCTCAATCTGAAAAATTCAAGAATTCATAGGCTGTCCCTGTCCCTGATGGTTGAAAGAAAACGTTAAAAATGGCCTACTCGAATTGTTTGAACTGTCAAAGTTGAGGTGCTTTCATGTTGCTGCCCCAGACTTATTTGAAAAGTGTGCAGTGAATTTACTCTGATGTGAGTTCTTTTTGCTTTGCAGACGAATTTTAAACAATCAACCAATTAAAGCACAATACTGACAAATTTCAAATGTCATTAAATTGTTTTTCTAGTCTAGAGTGGGCAACTTTTTCTTTCAGAGCGGGCATTGCCCACTCTGACCCCCTCCTAGCTACGGGCCTGCGTGGGAACCAGGATGAACGAGCACAAAAGAAACTGCAGACTAGGACAATCGAAAAAATCGGCAATAGCGGAACATGCGCTTAATGAAGGGAATCATAGAATACTCTTTGGTGAGGTCAAGTTTCTTGCACCGACTTCCGGATACCACAATCCTCTTGTACATGAAGCTATAGAAATCCACAAACATACGGAGAACTTTAACAGGAAAAAAGAAACACTAAAACTTAACCAAATCTGGAACCCGATCCTCAAAAACGCAAGAAAGATCCCATTGAGTACAGAGAAAGATGAGATTAGCCATGTGCCGCGAAGCCCCGCCCCTCCCCCACAACAGCCAATCACACATAAATACAACTTACGGTCGGGAACGCGTCAGTCTGCTACCAGAATCTGAAGAAATTCCAACTAACGATGGCCATTAAGCCCGAATGAAAACCCCTTATCAATAAAACTGGGCCGTGACCGCCTCACAAACTTTATTTAAAGCATTTTTCCATTGTTGTAGATACTCAAAGCAGCCTACTCATTTTGGACATTGATGATCCGTACGTCTAATTTAACGAAGAAAATTAACTAGGACTAATTTGTATTGTTTATTCAAAAGCTAAATTGTATGTGTCTCAAAAAGAGCAGAAAAAAATTTGTATTTATTTTTTATGCACTGACATAACTCAAATGTTACCAAATCTACCTCCTACTCACCGTAGTTTGTAATCACTTTGTATATTGTGCAACATTCTAAGAAGTATAGCCTATATAACCTTTCGCCAAACGTTTACCAAAGACTTGGAGATACATTAGGATAACGTTCATACCAAATCTTGAAGACATAGAACAAGGTGCAAAGTCCCTAAGACCTATTAGTCATACGTCATTTGAGGTTAAGACACTGAAAAAACTTGTGGATGGTGTGTTGACGAGTCGACCACTATACCCAGACCAGTATGCATATCGGACTGGGATGTCAACACAAACAGTACCTCACCAGCTAGTGAGCTGATGAAGTATAGACAGAAATTACATCAAAGACTTGGTTCGTAAAGAACATCAACACCACTGGACAACTTCCACGCAGAATCATGGGAGAACTTCCTTCCATAATCAACCATGCAGAAAAAGGACCGCAGAACTGCGACAAAAAGTAGGAACTAGCCAAAAGTAAATAAAAACAAGGCTGATAAAAATTTATTAGAAAAAGATACAAACAATACAGTCAAGGCAAATTTTTCTTGTCATTTTTATTCTCATAATAAAGCAAAGAGACAAAACACTTCTTCATCTATAGCATAGGTAGGTAGTACAACTTCAACAAGTTATTTTCCAATTCCCAAGTAAAACTTCGCCGCCTGGTCTCCAAGTAAACACATTGCGTCGTTCTTTGTCATGAGCTAATTCACTAGGACCGGCGTATAAATACTCGTTAAACTGCCTGCTTTCTATTGTGAAATATTCGCCGAAATTCTTAGGGGTCAATTTCCAATGACCGGTATTGTCCATGCCATTTTTGGGTACCCAAGTGAATATTCTACGGTTTTGCGCATTTAGCACCAAACCGTCGTAAACTGCGTATAAGTATTCATTATACGTTGTGCTGGTTATTGTAAAATATGCTCCATTATCAACTGGTATTATTTTCCAAGATCCAGAAACATCAATATTCGGAGAGGGCCAGGTGAAAACCCTACGTCTTTCTTTATCATAAAGCAATCCATCGATGGCGGCATATAGAAATTCATTATTATTTGCATTCACTATTGTACAGTTATTTCCATTCCAGGTTAATCTTTTAACTGATTTGGGTAAACCATTCTTCAAGTTATTTAATTGATCTTTTAGAATTGGGGAAGCATCAGGGTAAACTTTATCCAATGTTTCTTTAACAACTTGTGCCAGCATAATTAATCCATAATTGTCCAATCCTCCAGATGAAATCTTCATTTGATTAAATAGGGATTGTAATCCTAGAGCTGTGCTAGACATGTAAGGTAAACGCTTGATAAATGATATGATGTTTTTGATATCGCCTGAATGATATAGATACGCCTTTTGTATAACGGTCTTCAACAGCTGGTCAAATTTCAGATGATATTTTGTGGCAACATCTAAAACATCTTGATGGGAGCCATTGTATATCTTGTAAGCCCAAGTATTTACAGTTTTCAATGAATATTCATTATTCACATTGGCACAATCTACACAATTCTCTATTTCACCCCAAACAGATAGAGATATTGGATTATTTGGTTCGTCCTTTTTAACAAGTTGGAACAGAACTGTATAAGCAATGCGTGCTTCATTAATACTGTCAAGATTTTTAATAAACTCTATTATATTATCAATAATATTTATCTTTCCGAAATCTTTATAAGCGAAAGAAACGATATCATTAATTTTTGAATTATCCTTTATTTCCCCAAATGTATTAATTGCCTTATCGATATTTCCATTGGCGATTTGCAAAACACACAGATTTTCCTTGGTTTTTCGTAGTTGATCTTTCAAATCGCTGTAATAAGATTCGCAAATCTTAGTTCCCGGTTTTATCACTTCCGACAAGTCAATGTCGATTTCTGACTCGGTGTTCACCGGTAAAGATCTTATTTTCGAATTTAAAATTTCGCTATTCGTATTCATAATGTGTATTGCATCTTGGGACAGTGTTGGTAGTATTTTGACTTTTAATGTCGTGTTAGTGACTAAGATGTTAACTCCTACTTCTAGTTGGTCAGGTGTGTCAGATGTTACTTTTGATGTTAGGTTTATTATAAAGAGTGTGTAAATTATTAGGCGATACATACTTGCTTCTTTATGTTTCGGTATATTAGGATATTCTTCTTGTTAAACTCTTGATTTGATAGGTAGGTATCCTAAAAAAAATAAATTAAGTGTAGAATATTCAAATACGGTAATGGAGTCTGAGAATAGTATGCCAACTTATAACAGATATACTTGTTAAATAATTATTTTTCAAATGAAATGCACTTCATACTACATATTAAAATTGAAGTTTCTATGAAAGGTTCTGTTGAAAATAATAGGTACCTACTACCTACCTAAGATTAATCAAATATAGTAGATAGAAGAAAAGTTCCAAATTGTATCAATGCACCAAAAAAATACAGTTAGTGGCATATTCGCAATGAAGAGTAGAGTGAGAGAGTTAACATGAGAAGTATCTTTTATGAAATTAGAATATATAAATTACCTTAAAAGGAGACAAAAATAAACACTACAAGCTCGATCACATACGAAGGTTGACTGAACCAAGAAGCAAATAACATAAACACAAATAATAAAGCAAAAACAAATTCTTGAAATGAAAAAACTGGTTCCGCTGGGCTCTCAACCGCCGATGATCAGGTAAAATAACAGGCTACATCAGATTCATTTAGCTAAGAAAGTTGCAAAGAAAATTATTGCAAATTAGATACACTGTGAATAACTTGTTTGATCTAAATGTTAATTATTGGTTGAACATCTGCAAAGGTGTCAATAACTTGACCGTTTTTTTTTTATCAAATCTCATAATTCTTACTTGAGTAGGTAGTAAATATTATGCTAATATTTATTCATCTTCAATAGATTTAATGTTAATTAAAAAGCGTTAATTGTCTATTGTTTAATTTTTGACACAATGTTTATAAAATTGTATCTACTTATTATATTGATCAATTTGTTGGTATTATATGTATTTCAATGAATTTTGCATGGAGAAAGTATGAAAATATGAAAATGCACCTATCCCTTGTTTCAATTAGAAATAAATTATAATAATTATAATGAATAAAACATGATTTACCTTTATTTTAGAATAACACAAGAAATATAATGATTTATTTGTGTACATTGCTATAAGTTTAGGAACTTGGAAATAAAAAAGAACGAAAGGTTATCTTGAATTGCCGATAGAAGAGTCGTTGCCTGGTAAACATACAGGGTGAATTTTTTCGTGAGGATTTAGTTAAGACCTTTGTTTTCAGACCCCGTGTTGTTGTTACCCTAAATAAGTGTCATCCGTGAGGACTAGCCCGGATTTCTCGGGTAAGGGGGTGGCAGAACACCCCCAATGTAGAAAAAACATTGCATCGAGTTATTATTTAGTTAGGGCTAATATTATTAACTCGACCCTTTCCTTAATTAAACGTAATATTTTTACGTGATTAATCGATTCATTTTTATATTCGCCATACATTACTTCAGTCAGATTATCTAATTTCAAATTCAATTGATTAATATATAATAGCAAAGCGTTCAAATCATAATAATGTATAAGCATAAAAGCAGATTCTTGCATTTTTGCTGATCCCAATTTTAGTGGAATTATTCCAGGGGGTTTTTCTAAGTTTCTCACGATAATGTGATTGTTTTCTTGGAAGCATATGCAGAGCAATGGGAATCTAAAATCAAGAACAAAATTAATTATTAAAAGTGTAAGTTTGCTTACGCGGGCGTTTTAAATTACTCATGGGAATTTTATTTTCGTTTTCTGTGGAAACCGTTTTATTGACGTCGTCCTTGTCTTTTATAACCGTTAATTTCTTGAAAGGGTTTGCGGTTTTTTGTCTAATATGTTTTTTTACATGAATTTCTTGATCGGGTTCAAAGATATTAGGGTTGTCGCGATTTTTGTTTAATCGTTCTACCAACGCTTCTTTCTGTTGGCTAAGTTTTTCATTAATTTTAGAATATAATAATTTGGTTTTTTCCTTATGATTTTCTACGTAATCGTTGATTAGTAGTTAATCATGTCAAAACGATTATTACCCGAAACATGGCCATTTATGATATTAATGGGTCTAAATTTTGTTGCGGAGTGTATTGTATGATTGTAGCCTCATATTGCGTAAATCATTTCTAAGTGGACTGGTTTTTAAGAAATCCGCGGGTATTTATAGAATCCTTACGTTCTCTTAAATTTTTGAGTGGAATCTTTCAACAATACCGTTTGCATCCGGTTGAATTGGGCAAATGAAATGAACTTTAATTTTGTGTAAACCAAGTAATTCAGTAATCAAGAGATTCTTAAATTCTCTACCATTATCTACAATAATTTGTTTCGGGATAGAGTGATGTGAAAAGTAATTTAATAGGCGGTCGGCGACCTCGACAGATTCTGCTGATTCAATTTGATATGCTTGAGCATACTTAGAAAAGCTGTCGACGATAGTTGAAAATTTGGTTTTTTCGACTTAAAAACATCCATGTGGACAATTTAAAATGGTCTATTAGTAGTGGGTGTTACGTTCATTTTCACTTTTACGGGTATTTCGTACCTATTTACATTGTTGACATATCTCACAAGTATTTATATAACTTTGTACTGAATTTTTCAAGTGAGGCCAGTAATATTTTGATTTAATTTGCCGTTCAGTTTCTTCAATTCCTCTATGATTGGTTTTTCCTTCGTGATAGTTTTTTATGATTTCCTGAATATCGTCTTTATTAGTACCTAACGTTCAATAATTTAATTTGACAATATTTTAATTTTAATGAAGGCCATTTAAAATATTTGAGTACAACCTCGCGAAATGGTTCATATATTTCTCGATTTTCAAAATATAAGTGATATTGGACAGCAGGAGTAACATAATCTTTCATAAGGTTTAGAATGTCCTCTTCAAAATTACTTTGTGAGATTTGTACATTTATTCGTTTTTTCTTTTCGAATAATATGGTAATTTTTGTTTTTGCTGGGGAATGTAATACCTACTGATTTGATAATAATTTGGCGAGCGCCGTAATTTACAAGAATTTCAGCGATAGGTATACCTACAATGGGATGTTGTTCGGCATTAGTGTGAACAGTGACGTTTTCGTCAAGGGTGTTCAACTCTCTTTGCTCTCTATCATTATTAGGTTGGGCAATAATGGAAAGATTGTCTTGGTCCGGGTTTGTTTTGTTTGTGAGCTGATCAGCATTTCGACTAGAAGAATTTAGGGATTGATTGAACTCGTCCATGTATTGACTAATATCAAAATTATCTGTGGTCTCGTTGGCGTGAATTTCGACACGAGACAGGGCGCCGGCGTTAGTATTTGATGACCCTTTTTTATAGAAGATTTTATAGTCGAATTCTTCAAGCTTAATGCGCCATCGAAGTAGTTTCGAACCCGGTTCTTTCAAAAAAAACATCCATTGAAGAGGCTTATGGTCTGTTACTATATTGAATTTTCGACCATACAAATAGGGCCGGAAATATTTTGTTGCTCATACAATACAAAGAAGTTCCTTCTCAATGGTGGAATAATTTGTTTCACTATCATTCAAGGTTCGGGAAGCATACGCTACAGATAAATCATTTCCGATAGGCCCTTGAAGCAGGACTGCACCAAGTGCGACGTTACTAGCGTCAGTAGTGAGATTGAAAGGTTTTGAAAAATCTGGGTACTGGAGGATGGGTTGATTTATTGTTGTTATGATGTTATTGACGAACCTTCTATAGTAACCTAGGAGTCCTTGAAAACCTTTGATTTGCTTCGTCGTTTTCGGGATAGGGTAGTTTTTAAACACCTTTATTTTGTCTGGGTTTGGCTTAACACTAGAGGGTGTAACGACGTGTCACAGGTATGCTACTTCTCTACGGAGGAATTCCGACTTATCTAGTTGGATTTTGAAATTCGCTTGTCTGAGTCGTTCGAAAACATTTCTTAATTTTTCAAGATGTTCCTGAAGGGTACTAGAATATAATATTATGTCGTCTAAATAAACAGCGCATTTTTCGTTCTGTAATCCACCTAGTACGTTATCCATAATGCGCTCGAACGCGGCGGGAACGTTTTTGAGCCCAAAAGGCATTCTTAGATAATCATAATGCCCGTTTTCACAATTAAAAGCTGTTTTGGGAATACTTTTTTCATCCATTTGGATTTAATGAAACCCACTCGCAAGGTCTAAAGTGGAGAAATATTGGCATTTGCCCAGTTTATCTAAAAGTTCCGTTATTCTGGGAAGCGGGTATTTATCGTCCACGGTCTTCTCATTAAGCTTGCGGTAGTCGACAACTACACGCTACTTTTGCTTACCGCTTGCATCGAGTTTTTTGGGGACAACCCAAATTGGTGAGGACCAGGGAGAGTTGCTTGGTCTTATTATATTTTGGTCTAACATTTTTTTTATTTGATTCTCGACCTCCTGTTTGTGAATGAACGGGTATCGATAGCTTTTAGTATAGATTGGGCTTTCATCGGTGGTGTTGATAGGGTGTTTTATGTCATTTGTAAAAGTGGGGGGTGTATCGTCTGTATAAAAAATATCTAAGAATTCTCTATAATATTGCGTGATTTTAATTTTTTCTTCAGAACTTATATGTTCTTTTCTGGTTAATTTGGAAATATCGATTTCGGGGTTTTCAAAATTGTCAATATAATTTAAATCAATTTGTTCAAATTCTTTTCTTTCGAAATTTTCGACTTTTATTGGTTCAGAAAGTCCAGGTTTACTCTATCTATAGAATTGTTCAAGATAGTTGTGATGGCTACGCCATTCCTGGAGATAGTTAGACTTTCGGGAATTTCGCAATTACCTAGTCTTTGGTATGGTATGACAATTTCGCCAATTCTTTTATTTAAATGACTTGTTCGGATCATGGGGCTACACTTATGTGGTTTAGGTTCCTTATTGTACTTTGATAAAGAATTTTAATTTCAATATATGGTGTGAATAAAATTCCTTTACCAAAATCGATATTTGTTTGCAGAAATTCTAGTCCAATTAATCCATCGAAAGTGTTATGAAATTTAAATAGGAAAAATTTCAAAAATACAGGTTCAGGTAATTTAAATAATTTTGATGACGGGATTGAAGTACTGTGTTTGTGGGCTGAAATCTGAGTGCCTCTTCGAACTACAAATGGATCTTCAATGATATTTTCAGCATAAAATCTGGTTCCTAAATCGGGGTTAATAAATGATCTTGAAGAACCACTGTCAAATAAAAGTTTTAAATTATGCTCTGGTAGAAAAATATATGGTAATTTGCTGACATTAAAATAATTAATGGCGTGAGCGGTTACGTATTCTCGTTTAGTTGAGGTGCTTCCTGATAATTTTCGGTTTTTTCCGGAAATTCTACAGTTTGTTCTTCGGGTTGAAAGGAAGTACCCGTTCCTTCAAAATCGTAATATTGGTTTTCAGAGTTCTGATTAAAACTTTGATCGTATTCGTCATGCACTTCGGGAAATTGTATCACGTGACAAAACGGACACTGCCACTTTGTTACCCGCAAAACGCGAGGGAGAAGTAAATAATGAACTTTGAGGGAGTGACTGAAGTGAACGGGTAACTAAGACAAAAAAATATAGAAAGAGAGGGTTGGTTGGTGGCTGAAATCTAGAAACGTGATTTCGTGTAAAGGGTTGCCGACTAGCTTCCAATGCGGAGAGGGGTGTGGGCCAATTAAATAACTAAATATAGAGCGCCACCTGCTTTATTCCTGTAGTACACGAAATCAACCGATATAACGAAAGCAGGAAACTTCTACGGACCTATAGCAGCACAACCTGAAATATAAACATGAACAAGAAGGGAGGACAAAAGTGAAACGCTTTGCTACAATCAGGTACGGGTCCTAATTAGAACCAGAATAAGACAGGTTTGATTCCAGAGCAGCTTCGGAGTGGGTTTTCCGACCGCCCTAGAACACTGAAAATTATTTACACTGGAACCAGAACAAGAGAAGAAATCGTCTAGAAGTATCTAACCATATGTTCCTCAAATAGTATTTACAATAATGATTAATTACACTCAACTTGAGTCCCTAAATAAAGAAATAAAAAGTATAAAAATTAATAGCAATAATACCTGAAATATAAATTAATAAATAAGCTTACTAAATGCAGTACCTTCGTAAATGGCCATTTAACCCCAGTGTACAAGTATTTCCTGTATTCAGTGCAGCATGTATTTATGGGATAGTTATAAGAGAAATATAGATCAATAATTAAAGTTGAAGTAACAATAAATAGCCTGAGGGGCAAATTTAATATTATGGAATAATATAGATGGTCTAGGTAAATACTTAAAATTGAAGTACCTAACAGTGCATAACCTGAATGGTAAATTTCATATAATAAAGGTAATAATTAATTGAAACTGAAATAACAACATCTAATTTGAAGGGTAATTTAATATTGTCGTAGAACTGCATTGTTGTGGTGATTTACTCCAACAAGGGGTTGGTAAGGTTTGATATTAAGACAATACAACACACTTATCAAACCTGAGTAGTCCCTAAACTCTTGGGGAGAACCTGACAGGTGGGATCAATATCTTCCAGTGTTTCCAATGGCCTGGGACTAGATCAGGGTCGCAACAAGAAGCAACCTGGCCCTGGGCACTGAAGTTCAGTGACTAGGAGTCACTAAAGCTTCCAATTGTCCAGAGGAGGCTGAAGATAGGAGGTAGGTACGACTTGAAGTATACAGTAAGCTTGACGTATAACTTATTACTCTAAGTAAGGACTAAAGCGTGAAGAATAAAGGTGACGACTGAAGGTAAAGATTAAAGTGTAACTTCTAAAGGTGATGAATAAAGCGTAACGTCTAAGACTGAAGATTAAAGGCCTGAAACAAATGGACGTTATGAGACAGGGCGTGGACCAATAGGTATGTCCAATATTCGGAATTTAACCATATAATTAACAGAAAACTATGCTTTTACATAGAAAATAGAGAAACACAGAGAAGATTAATAAGAAAAACGACTTACCAAAATACTTTGGCCTTTTTGGTCACGTTGCTCTTTTTCGACTCACAAAAAAAATCCGCACAAGGCGATTGGGTGCTAAAATAACGGATTAGCCACCCTAGATCTATGAGCGAAACTAGACAACTCAGAAAATCGGCAAAATGTGCCTGAGGAATTTTCCCGAACACTTAATCGTGGAAAGTCCTCGACCTGAATGACCTCTGCTTGTCCCTGCAATGTCCTTTAAAAAGTCTCTGTCAAAACTCCAAGGTGGAAGGTACTGGGGAATTTTGATGGTAGTTGGGACATGGGACTTATTCAAATTAAGTTAGTACCGGTCATTGACTCTATTTGGAGCGCTGTGAATCTAGACAATCTACTCGGATCAGACAATCAGCTGTTCTAATGTAAATACTGTAATTTTATTTATTAATAAATTAACTGACTATTTATTTTAACCCTACTAAAAGGAAATCAATTCCATTATTAAACCTCTAACTTAATGATTCTGGAAAGAATGAAAAGTTTGATGAAAAGTTTGGCTACAACTATTGAAAAGACAAAAGTGGCTTGACGAAGGTATGCTATTCATTGAGGCGAATACGCTTATTTCCTTTCATTTTAACCCAGGAAAAATCATCCCGTAACAATTGGTTTATTTCAGTGTTATACAATTCCTCTGAGATAACATTATTTTTTCGTTGTTGGTCAGGAAAACTCTGTCCTTGATTTTGAGAATTATTATTGCAAGGATTTCTCATATTAGGGATTAGTTGAGAATCGTTGAGTAGTACTCATTGGAATTGGTTTTTGGAAATTTTTAGTTTGACCAGGCCTGTAAAACATTTTGATTTTGTGGTTTTCCGAAAACCTGGGAATTTGCAAAGAATTTCTGGGGTTGCGATCTTAATTGAACGTTAATCGGTTGTGAAGGAAAGGCATTATTTTGCCTCTTGAAGAAATCGTTACGGGTGTGGTCATTAGGACTATTAGTTCGGCGAAGTTCCGTTCTAGCGTCGATTTCAAGTCCTCCCAATTGGACACATTTTGAATATTAATTACTACTTTACCTGTACCAGTTAACTTTCCTATCAAACAATTAATTATTTAGATATTTTCGAATTTACTAAGATCTGCCGTATCATAGAAAGTTCCAATTAGGCTGTCATATGTCGCCAAATATCTGTTAAGGTCATTAGGGTTCCCATCGAAAGTGGGAACACAGTTTAAATATTCTGGTTTGAATACAGGCATTCTGATTGATTTATTATCTATTAATTCAAAATTGTTACTTGACGATGTACCTGCGCTACTGAATATGCAATCTACCGTATTAGATATTGGTGAGTCATAGCTGAAGTGATTGTCAATTTATTCAATATATCAGATAAATCTTCGATAGACATCAATGTTATAAGTTGTACTTACATCAACAACCAGACGATCAGCATCCTTATGGTAACTATAAGGGACAGGTCCAATGGGCGGCAATTTTGTTCTCCAAATTCCTGCCTCCTTGCGTAACTAGAACGATTTTTGAACCAATCACCAATGTTCCATTTCTGATAAATCGTTGAAACGAACGTTTTTCGAATCGACCGTAAAACTTCGGAAAATCCTACCGACTGCGCCACTTAAATAACCGGAATGGCGATGTCTATTTTTAGAAAATATTATTTATTACGAAAATTACATAGATTAATAATTAAAAAGCATAGAGCGAAAGCTTCAGACTGACTGAGGCGAAACGGCGTGGAAACTAGTATTGTATCTTCTTTCTTGCTGAATGTGCAGAACGTTGACTTGGATTTTACGTGGTATTATAGGGGTAGATGGTCACATAATTCACATTTGGTTTTCCCGATGTGTATTTGACACTTTTATGACAGAATTCTTTTGTCTAAGAGATAGTCAAAATTACTAGGTTTCAAAATATGCTGATTTCTAAACACCGATATCTCAAAAACTAATTGTCCGATTTAAGATTTTGCTATATGACTGTAAAGGGATAGCAACGAGCTATCGAACGATGTGCCACACAAGGTAGGTTCGTATTTAAAAAAAAAATAAGTTAGGGTAGCTACCCTTTAAGGGGTGAGGCGGGGTAACTCAAAAAGTTCCTCATTTTGGTTCCCCCTCAAATCCCTCGATACGTATTTGACATCTTCCTGATAGTATTTATTGTCTAAGAGATATTATTCCCGAGTGCTACTTTTCAAATTGTCACCCTGTATATCAAATAAATCTATTATTTAAATGTTTAATTTTTATTATAGTAAATTAAACTACGGGTAGGTATAATTGAATAATTTACATCCTTTTATTTATACAGGACGTGTAAAAATTAATCATAGCATATAGGTACAGGTACACCAACGTTGTACTCATTTGCGCAATATACTTCCTTACAGTAGGGTCCATAAATTGCTTCCTGAGTACAAGTTTGCGAATGACATTTGTCAATGTAATCGTTTATACCCCCCCTAGGGATCGAGCCAGGACTCCAACTGAAAAATAAAAATAACACACCAATTAATAATTTTTGTGTAATATCTCGCTAATAAATAATACTTTGATGAATAATATATATTTTTTGTCCTTGTTTACCAAGTATCGAATTATTTATAGAAAGGTAATCAAAGCTCTAAAAGAACTTCACTTTAAGTATGCCTCAAAAGGAGGCATCATGGTCTATGAATGATGAAATAAGAGGTAAAAGTCCTCGTCCCCAGGTCTCTTCAGTCAACCTGTCTCCTAACAATCTAAATATTTTCTTTTGCTCTATAGTTGGAGCTCTAACAATATCTAGTTCTGTGTTATGAGGCATCTTTGATTAATATTGATTTGGAAAATGAATAAATAAAATATTTATTTTTAGTGCCTATAGATAAGAAATATTGATTTATACTATACACAAATAACTTTCGACAAAACATAGCCGATATTCTGCAGTCAATCAAAAATGAGTCCCTCTATTGTCGCCACTGTCTTTTATAGAGGCACTGTATTTTGATTTAAACAACAGGTACATTATTTTGTCATTCCCTTGTCATCTTGTGATCCAAAGTTTTCAAAGTTTTGTTGAGAGTTGTGATTTTTATTCAACTTTGTGGATAGTTTCGAGATTTGTGCTTGAACTATAATGGAGGCTTATCGAGAACGTTATAAAAAATGTGTCGTTACTGGTTAAATAAATAGAATATTACTTCAAATTAATATAAATGTGAGTTATAATCCATAACTCACTAGTGAGTTATGGATTATAACACACTAGTGTGTCATTTGATAGTTTACTTGTCTAAAATGACGTTAATAATAGCAATCATAACTGTCATGTGTTGGATAAAATAATACAAAGAACTCTCAAAGAAGATATAGAGGAAAAAAAAGGAATAGATGAAAGAGACAGTTATCGCCATTGCTATCGCATTTGTCTTTTTCTCTCTCAGCTAAATCAATGAAGAGAAGGTAGAGATAGAGATGTTGATCACCTACTAGATTTTTGTCGATATTATAGATTTTTGCAAAAAAATAAATAAATATGGTAACTTCAACTGCTCCAAAAATTGAAGCTCTTTTAAAAAAAAAATTGATGCTGCTTCATTCTTTTCTAAAAATATTTAGTTATATTGGAAAATAAATTTGAATTTTTACCTGAAAGCCCAGCAATTACGACCACCAGGACCACTACTATAAATAACTTATTCATCTTATATTGCTGTTTAGAAAGGCAATTGGTGAATAACTAGGATGCAATGTAGGGAATATTATTTCAGACACACATTTATATACCTACTGATAGGTCAATAATGAGTACAATTAGTGGTAAAAAATTATCAGGAAATATGTTTTCTAGTCTAAGATTCTACTCATTTAGATAATTTTAATGAATAGGTATCGGTAAATAGGTTTTAAAAAAAAAACACAATAGATAAGCTTCAACATACTGCTAATTATTCATAGGTAATTAAAAGTAACTAGCAGTGTGCTGGAGCTTTGCTTAAACACTTTTGTGTTTTCCAAAGAAACAACTTAGTACATTATACCTAGGGGCTGAAGTGGTACTTTTTAGAGAGAAAAAGTTTATAGCTCGACAGAAGAGAGGGCTATAATTAGTCGAGGGTTTAAAAAACACTTTAGTCCTGAGGTGTAGGTGTACACTATTTTGTGTACTTTAGAGGGATTAAAAGTACCCTTTTAATCCCTGTTTCATTTAATCCCCGGGATTAAATTTCACTAAATTTCACTTTATTTCCCGAGGATTATATTTTTACTTCATTTTCCCGGAATTAAGAGTAGGTAGCATTTTAATCCCTAGGTATATGTATTAATAGGGTTGGGCGGACATTAGAGTATCATCTATCTTACCAATTGCATGAAGAGGCATATACAAAAATCATTTACCACGTATCGAAAATCAGTGACTCCAGTAATATATTAATCCGATGTTCAAATAACGATGTGTCGGTAATTTTATTAGGAAATATGATGCATTTTGAAGTATCTTACAAAATATGGATGGAGGTCAATGTGAGCAATTTCCAAAAATACTCAGATGTTTCAAAATTGTACATATTTCACTGTGAGTGTGGTGACAGTATAAATTTGTAGTTTTTATTCTGTTTTCTTGGGTTAGCGGTCTGGCAATGATTGAAACACTTTTTTTACTTACGCCGAGCTTTCGGAAAATCTATTTCCTTTTTCAAGGCTACAATATAGAGCAATAGGTTATAAAAATTAATATAAAAGTGTATATGGTAGAATGGTGTAATAGTATATTACATTCCGAGTAGGGAAGTGTTTCGTTACTGTCGAGAGATTTATATAGTCAATCGAGACGCCAAGCGTCGAGATTGACTATTAATCTCGAGACAGAAATGAAAACTTTCCTCCGAGGTTTGTATACTATTTTATTTGCAAGCACACAATTAATTATGATTAGTCAATCAGTTTTTTTGATATTAAAAAAATAAAACAAACATGCCAAAATGTGTCATTCACTGCTTTGACGTTTTTACCTGACATGTTCTCATTGTTGCCAGCAAAGGTAAATAAATTAGAGTGAGGGAAGTCGAATAGGGAAATCGGTAAGGGAAATCGAAGAGGGAAGTGACACAGGTAAAGTGTCACTTCCAAATTTTTAAAAAGTCAGTAATGACAAGATTACATATATGATTGCAAATAAAAATGATTAATATACTTTGACAATTTCAAGACTTATGATAGAGCTTGGTTCTTGTTTGTTAATGTACCTTTGAGGAATTTAATAGGTAATAGGTAAGTATTAATTATTAAATTTATAAAATAGAATTTAGCAATTTAGGGCATTAATTTAAGAAATTTATTTCATTGATTGGATTTTTAATGAAATGAAGAATATATGAATATATTATGTTTAAATCTTCAATATCTTTTCTTTTATTTAAAGAATTATCTTCAAAATAAATCTCAATCATTTCAAGAAATTTCCTTCTGTTATTATTAGGTTCTTTATCTAGTATTTTTACATTGATAAAATCTACGTTATGATCAGTATCTATTACATGTTCAGATAAAGTACAAGATATTTTTTGTAATCTACAATCACTCTTATGTTTAGTTATTCTATCTTTAAGGACAGTTGAAGTTTGTCCTATATATGATTTTTCACAATCAAGACACTTAATACTATAAACTACTCCTGAAACTTTCAATACATCATCCTTATCTTTCAACTTAGAAAAAATATTACCCATATTTAAAATATGCTTGTAGCTAATTTTCACATTAGCAGAATTCTCAATCATTGCCAGACCGCTAACCCAAGAAAACAGAATAAAAACTACTTATTCAATTGGCCATTCCATCTACGTACTTAGTATAAATTTGTTCGTGTAGAATTTATATGTGAGAGCCAAGGTCTACCGTCGTTGTGTCAAAGCTCGGTATTTTTAAAATGTCGTCTATAGACGCTGTGTCACCTAACATCGATGAAAATTAGACGTCTATAGACGTTCTGTCCATCATCGTGTTAAACCCAAAAATAAGGCCTATCGCATTTTTGACAGTAATGTGATACATAATTGCATTCAAAATTGAGTGGTCTAAACATACGGCGAGCTTCAACAGGAAAGAAGAAACATTAAAACTTGACCAAATCTGGAACCCGATTCTCAAAAACGCAAGAAAGATCCCATTGAGTACAGAGAAAGCAGCGTTGCCAACTTAACGGATTTCCCGTCATATCTAACGGATTTTTATGAAGGGAAACGGAAAAAAAAAAGTTTCAACGGGTGACGGATTTTTTAACGGAAACTATTGGCGTTTCCGATTGGTAGATCTAGTGTGGAGTTAGTGCATTTTTTTTATTTCTATCTTTTTCTTCTACAGGTCGATTGAAAAAACGCAAATACTCTCACTACGCATTGAAACTACCAATTGAATACGCCATATGTTTCCGTTCGAAAATTCTAAATTATGTTCTGTAAATGTAATGAACTGGTTGTTTAGCGATTTAAGCTATTTTTGGTCTGTAAACAAGCCTTTACCGAAACGCTGATCCGACTAGCCCGATCAGCACCTGATGTTATCCATTGAAAAAAGATGAAATATAAACAGCCGATGAACGGGTGAATCGGATCAGTGTTTCTAATCTAAAAATACCTAAAATCAAATAGCAAATAGCACTGTCGTCAAATGGTCGTTGGTAGTTTCGCTTATCGATATTTCTATTCTCGATACGATATTTTTAAAATATCGATACGCTGTAAGTGACATTGATATTTCGAATCATATTTCGATACCCGTATCGATGTGCTCATTTTTTTGTAGCGCCATCTGCAAGCGCAGAAAATAACAAAAATTGGATTTTTTTTTCGTGTAGGTACTTCTATTTTTCGAGAAAGAGAAAGAAGCAAACGTCATATATCATGATAATTTGGTATTTGACAACGTGATTATCCGTTTAGATCTCGACAACATTTCTGAAGGCCGTATCGATACGTATCGATACAATAACTATACATCGATATCGATACGGTGTCGATATATCGAATCGATAAGCGAAACTCTAGACTCGTTAGCTCTGCATGATTTGGTTTGCACTACTGACTACCGCGCTACCTAACCGGTACTTCCCCGGGCCCCGAATCTTCTCAACAATTAACAAAACACAAAACTAAAAAAAAAATTATTGAATCAGTGCATTGTGTATGTTCAAGTGACAAAAATGCCGAAGGTGCAATATAAACAAAAATTTCGTAATGAATGGCTTCAAGAGAAGCAGTTTAAAGACTGGATTATTATGAAAAAAGATAAACATTCTGGCGAGTCATTTCCTGAGTGCAAATTTTGTCGATGTATCGTAAGTAGTAGCAATAGATATTCTGATTTGAAAGCTCATACGATTTCGAAGAAACATATGAAGAATACCGATATGTTGGCGCCATCACGCCAAGCGACAATCAATTTCACTCCCAAAAAAACAGAAAAAAGCAACGACACTATTTATTGCCGAACATTGCAGTGTTCTAACAGTAGATCATTTAGGGCGAATAATGAAAAAGGCGGCGGATGATTCACAAGCAGTTAAAGACATGCAATTGCATCGCACAAAGGGTTCCAATTTTATTAAAAATCTCTTGAGTCCTCATTTTAAAGATGAATTGAAAGTGGATATTGGAAATGGAAAATTTAGTTTACTTCTGGATGAGTCTACGGATATAACTGTAGTAAAATATCTTGGCATCGTAATAATATATTACAGCACAAAATCTAAGAAAATAACAACATCTTTTTTAAAATTGGCACCACTAACCGCATGCAATGCAGAAGGAATAGTTGCCGCGGTTAAAGAGACTCTAAACGAGTTTGGTTTGGATTATAAAAAAATTCTTGGTATCGGAACTGACAATGCCAGTGTAATGACGGGTGTAAATAATGGCGTACATGCAATTCTGAAAGAAGATATTCCAGGACTAGTTCTTGTACGATGTGTCTGTCACTCGATTCAGCTTACGGTATCACACGCCTCAGTTGGTACCTTACCGAGGAATCTGGATTTTATGGTTTCTGAAACATACAATTGGTTCTCCCAGTCATCAGTTCGACAGGCTGAATACAAAGAGCTGCACCGCACAATAAATGAAGGTTACGAACCATTAAAAATTGTTAGAGCTTGTCAAACCCGATGACTATCAATATATTCGGCTGTAGATAGAATTTTGAAACAATGGCTTGAGCTTCAAACGCATTTTGAAATATCTCGGCGAAATTATACTGCTGAATTGTTGTACAATATGTATAAAAATGAGACTAATTTGGCCTTATTCTCATTTCTATGTCCCATATTAGAACAGTTGCAACGAGTGAACAAATCTTTTGAAGCCAAAGATGCTGATCCATGTAAATTGTTTACGGATTTATCTACTCTTATTGGATTTCTGGTTTCAAAAGTAGTCATGCCACGTCCCAATATTGATCCACTAACTATAATTGTGGAGAATCATTTAGACCCTAAGCCATACCTTGGTTATGGATTCGAATCCAAGATACGAGAGATGAGGGAAAAAGGTCTTATACACGAGCAGAGTGAACAAGATCTTCGTCAACGATATATTAACTTTTTGAAGAAATTAATTCAACAATTACGTTCGAGGTAAGTTGTCAGTTTCTCACTTCTCAATGTTTCCCAAAGTCTCCGTCATGTTTATTATAAGTTACCAGACAATATTGAGATCCTGCAGAAAACCAATCTACTCTCGTGCAAAAA